GAATAGGGTGACTATAGCGCATTTTAAGAAAACGTCACAAGTTTTTATGGCTGTTTTAAATCAATAATTACGAAGAAACCATAAAGCCTACAAGGTTACTACCAAAGGCACAAATCTAGGGAACTGCATGGAAAATGTTTTGTAGAACAACTAAATAAACAGAAATGAAAATTTTCAACTTAAAAACACTAAAATGTATGAAATTTCACCAGTTTTTTTGGTACTTTCAACATACTTTTCAATTTTAATGTATGATAATTAACTTTAATCAAGTTCTTTTTCAAAAAGTACTGATAGCTTGGACTTTAATCTTTCATTTGGTATGTTGAATTCAGAAAACCACATTAAGATTAAAAAAATATAGCTAACCAAAGTTGGCAATACAAAAAAACATAAAATGTTGAATAACTCACTTAGCAGTCATTTCCGACCCTATGTTTCATGGGGATTTTTTCATAACTTTAGGAGCCCTATCTACCCTGAAAATATGTAAAACCCGGAACCAAACACCCTGTATGTCACTCACAGAGCACCTAAATTTGCATGATTTTTTTTCTAAAATACCCAATTATGACTACAAAGTAAGCATTTTCGAGGGAAACAGGGACTACCAATTAAATGAGTAAAATTTTACCCATTTATGAGTAATTACAACTACAAAAACAAGTAATGAGTATTCATTTTTAAGTAACAAATACTCATAAATGGGTAATATTTTTACTCATTTAATGGGTAGTCCCAGTCTCCTTCGAAAATGCTTACTTTGTAGTCATTATTGGGTATTTTGCGGTTACCGTGAACTTTGCTTCACCCCACGGTAAGAAAAAAGTACCCAACGGCGAGTTCACTTTTACCTACTTTTGACTAGTTTGTCTCCTTTTCTCCTTCTAATGTTGTCAAAACGGAGAAGCAAAATCACCCAACAGGGGTAGTAAAGTGTGGGAACCCAACGTTGAGTATAATCATATTTACCTACTGTTGGGTACAACTAACTTATTTTTGGGTAGAAATCGAGTGAAAAATTCCACACAAATTGCACACAAATAAATGAAAACTACTATGAAACCGCTTTACCTACTATTAGGTTCCTGCTCTATAGTCACCGACAAACCGACATGAATGACCATAGCAAAAGCAATAACATTTCTGACCAAAGCACACTACTGACATCTGACTCCGTGTTCGCGGGAAATATTTAGCTAAGCTATGAATCCGCATGCAAAAGTTATGAAATTGGTTCGTGTCTGATCTATTCTGGACAATTTTTTTTTTTTAGAAATGTAGTATTTCTGAACTGTTATGACCTCGGCCTTATCACGTTCGGCATTATAGCGTTCTGACCTAATCGTACATCTTAAAAAAATTGGCCACTTGAAACCTAGCTATGTCCCATGATGAATAACGGCCAATTTGAGCGCAGTACCTTACAATTGTATTCATGACATGTGTCAGCATACATAGTGCGCTCATGCGCAGGGCAGTATATAGAATTACTCTAAGAGGAATTACTAGTCCCAAAGACGTTCTCTCATAAATCCAATAAGATTCGTTTGTCTACTTACTAACAATATTCCTCTTGTAAACAATTTATTTTATCATAATTTATTTTGATATCATTATTGCTCATATATTTACAGACAATGGCAATGGAACCAAGTTCTTCGGTGATGTTGCAAGGAGATGATTCCGACTGCAATCGAGTGGATACAACAACCAAAGAATCCGATGGCGTAAAATGTTCTATTCCCGCTAACAACCGTACTTTTCGTCGTCACCTTGATGCCGCTTTCCAAAAACATGGCTCTCAGCTGCCGGAACAAATTATGAAGTCACATTACTTGGACAAATGTAAACACGTTGAGGTGGAAACATATGTGAATGAATTCGCCACCAAATCCGAAGAGTGTGTCTATGAAAAGATGCGGGACAAAGAGGATTTTGTTCGGGTCACCAACTGGTGTGAGCTAATGCATTCGACGGAAATGAAAACCACTAGCAATCAGGAAATTCCACTTGCATTGAGAACGATTGCAATGACAGAACAATTTCCGGATCCGACATATGCCAATGGGGTAAATTTCAAACTTCTGTATACGAACCTTTCGAACATGATGCTGGGCCATCCGGTTCAAGAGATGAACGCAGCTACGGCAAAGGTTCTAAAGGATGTTTATGAGGTAGCATGAACACCCAAGAAACATTTACGATGCATTTGTTAAATCAATCCATCTATTCTAGGAAATAATGCTACAAATGCAGCATACCGATAACAACGAAGATTCAGCTCTGCTTCGTCCACCGTGTTTGCTTACGGCAAAGCCATCAACGACAGAAAACCTTAGCAATGGTGGGCTGAGTCCTTTCTTCACCGACCGCAATCTGAATCCTCTACAAATTCCATTCGAGAAACTTTTCTATGTCTCCAAATAAATGCTTTCTTTCAAGAAAAAAAGACTGATAATAGAATAACTGTTTTTAATTCTTTCTGGTGTCAGCATTTGTTATATAATTATTTATTTTCGACTTTTACTCAAAATAGTTAACCACGTTCACAGTACAATTCGATCGTTTTACAATAATTGTTTTACATTGTATCGATAAGGAGTGGTTTTCTTTGCATATTGTTCGTGTACATCAATGTGTTTTGGATCCGAATCGTACGAAATCAATACGAATACGCTGTCTCTTTCTTTAGTTTTAATCGACATTTTAGCCACTTAGCTTATTATGTTTCTTTTCATTCAATACATCTAGATTTCTTTGCTGATGCTGTTTTGTTAAAAGTACACCGTTAGTAGAAATTTCCTTTGATCCAGTAGTGTAAGAATTCTATTAGAAATTTTAAAATAGTTTATATTCTGCTTAAGCTGCCAAATGAGGATCATGATCATTTTGGCATATGTAAACTTCAAAAATTCATAAAAATATTTGCTCTGCTACTTTGCTACGAAATGATCTCATTGTGGTGTAAATATGTGTTTATTTTATGTCTGATTGTTGTTGGTTACTAACATGGATAAAAGCTTTCAGTGTTCAACAAAAATCTAAACAGCAAATGTAATAATGTAGCTGCGTCCTTTCCTTGAAGATCATCACACCCGACGCACCATGGAGTATTTAGGGTACTAACTCTATACTATGAAGTCGGAACACTCTGCAGAGAATATTGAAACGGCTTCTTATTTTATTCCGTTGCTTGTTGCTAGAGCTGTAGTGAGACACTTCAGTACTTAGTATAAGCAATATAATAAAAAATAAAAAAATCACGGTATTTTACCCAATATTTTTTACTAAACATAGATGCATTCTATCACATTGCATGTTTATTTTCAAAATTATCCCTCCAACATAAGTGTAAATGAGAAAACTTGTAAAATCTTTGAACGCCGTTTTCTCATTTACAGTTTTTTACAGATGGGACTGACTTGCGGTTATGATCAGTTAGTATTATTTCCTGATACAGTAATGACCTGATTTTATCAGTCCCTTCACGCATTATTCTTTTAATGTTCCATAATTCGAAATCTTTTCCATTAATCTTCTTGATCGATGTTCAGGGTAAACTTTGGTGCAATAAAACCATTGAAATAGCGCATGGGTTTCGTAGATAAAATCAGGTCATTATTGTAGTTCTTTTCAGAATGCCAATAACTTTTGGATCCTCTCTAAAATTCCCTTATAATTCTTATCGTATAACTCTCGTAATTCTCTTCTGCAACCACTAGGAATGCATTTTAGAATTCTCTCATTATATTTTTTGATATTTCAAGTGAAGAGAATAATTTTCACGATCTACGCAAATTGGTCCGATGTCACTTTTATACGTTTTACATTTTTATATAAAATAGTACCTTTTTAACATAAACTTTCGAATACGTATAATTTTTTTGTATTGTTCCATTGACTGGTTTCAATGCAAGAATTGTTTAAGAAATATTTATATGATCACAAGAAACAGAAGGAGCATTTTAGCAAATATATTATATTAATATTAATCCCTCGTGAAGATAAACCAGTACATTGGTAGCCTTTTTTGGCCACAGAGGCGCTTCCATCGCAAAAAAAATCCGTTTGCCAGCTAAACCAAAGAGTGTTAATGTGATATATTTGGTCTATGCAAAAATATGCATTCTGGAAAAAATTGCCTGTACGCTGCAGTCCATAGCAAGAACTTCCATTACATTTCAGTGCCAACATTTCAAAGGGGCGTAATTGCTTTTGTAAACAATGGCTTTAGCTATCGATTTCTCGCAAATAAAAGTCCATCCCTCCAAATTAACAATGCTAGCTGGTAAAGGAAACATTCATCTACCTGCTTGTGTCATTCATCTTCATGAGTAAGTTTTAATTCACGAGAAATCGACGGCTAAAGTCATTGTTTACAAATACAATTACGCCCCTTTGAAATGTTGACACTGATTTGTTGTATGACACAAATGCAGAGGATGTAATAAATCCAACCTTACACTGAAAGTAAGACAATTTTGTTTTGCATGTACATTATCTCCAACTGGCAAACAATGATTTAAAACATTTATGACGTTTCGTCGCAATTGCAACCAGTGGTCGTTAATGCACATTGTTATTGCGAAGATATCCCCACTTAAATGTATGGGGACAAAATTTCTCGGAAATTGTCCCCTATAACATTTACACGGCATTGTGGGCTTCGTGGTCATGCGGTTATTGTAAGGGCCATGAAGTGAGTGTTAAATTCCCGCTCCAGCCGGTGGAACTTTTCATTCAAGAAAATTTCCCTAATGGTCTACTAATTGTTGTGTGTTGTCCATTGTCTAGTGTTAAGTGTTCAGTCTGGTTTGAAGATGAGGTCAATTATCTTTTAATTTTCCTTAACCACCTCTGGGTGCAACTTGGGACTAATATTCGTAGCACGCATATTATTTATTCGTATTTGTTTTTTGAATCCACCTCAGAATGTTCTTAGCAGTTTATTGAGAATCATCCAGGAATTCTTCAATATTCGCTTGAAAATCTCCAAGGATTTCTCCTAAGAATCACCATGGAATACGCTGAAAAATTCCATGAAGATTTGTCCAGCATTATCCTTGAATTATTCTCTGCATCCCCTTATAACTCTCTTCTGAAACATTTTCGGATGCTGTCGGAATTCCTTTGAAACTATCCAACAAATTCCTTTGGAATTCTCTTTAAAATGCCTTTGAAAATATCATTAGAATTTGATTCTCTTGGAATTCTTTGCAAAATTCCCTTAGAACTTCCCTTGAAATTATCTTAATAATTCGATTAAATTTCTACTTTAAATTCAGCAGGAATTCATCTCACAATTCTTGTAGCATTTTTCTTATCACCTTGAAGTTCTCTCAAGAATTAACCTGTATTTTTTCTCAGAACCACATTGGAATTCAAGGCAGCACTCCCTTGAAATTTTCCAAAGTGTTCCGTAGAAATTTCAATCAAAAGTCCATTGGAATAATCCTAGGAATTCATTTAAAAAATTTCCCAAAGTTCCTTAAAAATGCTCATTAAAATTTCTTAAATTGTAGAAATCTTGGTAATTTGCCCCAACTCAGACTGCCCTGGATGGATGGATTTTATTTTCAAATCTTCTTCTTTTAGGCTTTTCTACTTAGGGTTCTAGATTCTCTTCCATCGCAATTATTAATTGAGAGCTTTCTTTGTCAACCAATGCATGCTTTAGGCAAGTACAATGATACTCTATGCCCAGGGGAGACGAGATTATTACCATCCCGAAAGATTTCCTCGACCGAACCGGAAATCGAACCCATCACCTCTAGCTTGGTAATAACGTGCCTATATCTGAGGTCTCAAACTTTTCCATCATTTTTTTTTTCAAATTTTCCTATAAAAACCGTTGAATTTCTGAACAAAGGCAAAGTCTGAGGACTTTTTTGATCACTTTTTTCGGAAAAAAAAGATTAAGGCCGAAAATCTTAAAGATTCTCGATTGCTCTCGATCTTAAAAAAATATTTTAGACCGTGATATCGATATAATAAAATAGTTTCCACAATTAGGTCAATTGTCCCAATCGATCCTAGAGCGTTAGACCCAGCAGCCTCGAAAAGTTTTAATAATTTTTTAAACGTTCAAAAAAGTTTTAAATTTAGATAATCTAATTTTGTTACTGAATCCGGGAGAGGTGACAATCGTCCTTCTCTGCCATCCCTACGCCCATGTTGGGTAAAATATATTTTGTGCGCTTCAAACTGTTAAACAATTACTTTTTAATTTCGTGAAACGTATCTGAAGTTAAAAAAAACGATTAACTAGGGTAAATGCAGTTATGGAATATGAGTGCAGTTATGGCATATGTACCAGTTATGACATAATCCCACAAACACAATGGTAGCAGTTTTAGCCTACCCAATTTAAATTACATGTGCCAGTTCATGCCAAAACTAGTGCATATTTTAAGTTGTGCCAAAACTGGAGCCCTTCCACTGCTCTAGCTTGAGAGCTTCTAATCATTGAAATTTTCATCAAAATCGAAATTTCAATCCCGCCTCAGTAGTTCTCTGCAGAGGTTCCACCCATTCAAGCTTTGTAAGGTACTGCCTCTCAGTTGTTTCCAACAGATTTGTATATCCATACACAACGTAACATGTAATCACATAAAATTACTGCACATTAGCAAAACCAGAAGTAAAGCAACGAACCGAAGGCGTTATCACAGTTCTGAAATAAACACTCGTCTATCTACTTTCTCTCGTACTCCACGGTGGAAAATGGTATGGGATAAGTATATGATACCAGTTGTCTATCATCATGGTCGGTCAATCGGTCAGATGTAGCATAAATGGACAGGTAGGTTTTATTATGAATGGATCGGAGGCAGAAGGGCACACATAAACACACACACATACACACACACATCAACACACCCACACCCATACACGCTGCTACAGATAATATCGGTTATTACGATTTAGATTTTCGGATGTGTTGTTTCATTCTGCGTAGAGATACGAAAACGTTCGGATTGTCAGCTGGTTTCGATTCCTATCTAATGTTAACATACGATACGGGGTCAAACAGTACAATTGTTTGTATACAGTCACTGTGATGTGGATTCTCCGCTAGCAGTGAGTTATGTTTTGATATAATCATCTGTGAGTTTTGATTAAGTTGAATTGTACACAGATATAACGACTAATAGTGTCCTTTGATTGTGATGTGCAACATTCTTTCTTGTGTGATTGCATAGGAATAGCTATCCATTTTCATTTCGCACGAATGAAATATAGAGTGCATGCCAAGTTTTGATAGCCTTGATGATTTTCTTATCGCCTAAATTTCCTTTGTATGATCCTCTTTTCAACATTTATCTTAGTTTTCTTTTAAAAAACAACGTATTATTTATCCTTTTTTTTTACAAGAGAGTTGTCCTTAAAAATTATAAAACTGGAATTACAAAAATCTCTACTGTCTAAGATATTTTTTATCATTTTTAATCTTTGGGCAATGTTA